AATTAAACTCTATAATTTGGCAGTCCCCGGTAACGGCGCCAAAAACTTGATCGAAAAAATAGCAAGTATACTATTTTTCCTCTTGTAATAATAGAGAAACTTCCCCGAATGTTGATCTCAATGACTGTACAGAAGTACCGAGTTAAATTCGTGGTTCAATTAAATAAAAACTTAATTTTGGGTTTTGTTTGGTTATTGTTACTGTAAAATAAACAGAAATATAAATTGACTTTTTTACTAGTATGAGGAACATGCTAGGGTGAAGTGTATAATTTTCCCTGTAACAACCTTGAATCATGATTTATTCAACAAGTTCATAATACCAATTACCAACCGTTTAAGTTATTTCCCCCTAAGTCCTTAGTGCGAAAACCTTTAAACATTCATCCTAAGTCCTAAGTCCTTAGAGAGTTATGATGAATTCAAGCCTTTGTTTTATCAAGAGTTAACCGGTAACTATAGGTATCCCTAGTCCTAGGTGATATTTACTATAGCCTAATCGTACAAAAACCTTAACAATCGTGGTCCAGCTGGTTGTTAACCGTAAGTCAGTCCTAATTGGTCTAATAGGAAAAGAATAAAAATATTGCACAATTAAATTGAATAATAAAAACCATGGAATTGATAAAATCATAAATTCAAAGTCATTATAGATTCATGTCAGGGACACCCCTTAGCATTGGGGGGTTTAGCTACTCATACTGTTCAAAGTAACTTCAAAATAAAAAATAGACGTTACAAATTACTGGTGAACTTTGATCTTCAATTGCTTCTGCTCATAAAAAGTCTTCGTCCTCCAACAATTACATATGCTTCCTTCTTCAATCGTAGAAATTCTTCGCTGGAAAAAAGTTCCCTAATTCACCGTAGAAACTCATCTAAATATCAAAAACTCATTTAGGTCGTATGGCAGTACCCAAAACGCTCTTACAACTTAACATATGGAAAAACTATAGAAAAAAATAAGGAAATCAGCGTCACAGGCCAACACGGCCCGTGTGAGGCAACACGGGCACCCGTGTTGGCCCCTAAACTCCTAAATCTTCTTTTAAGGTCCCAAGGGTTGTAACACGGCTCGTGTTAGGCAACACGGCTGCCCGTGTTGCACCCCTGACTTCATCTTTCTTCACTCGCCCATCCTGACACAACCCGTGTCAGGCAACACAGATGGTCGTGCCAGGCCTTCTGTAGGTAGATTTTTTACTTTCTCCGAAAGTTTTTTGCACTTTTTTACCCTGAATTGTTCTGTTTTATTCCTCTGACCCTGAAAACACTAAAACACCAACTAAAGCCTAAAATGCGGTAAAATGAAATAAAATACTCAGCAATAAAAGAACAGATAACTACAATTAATGATAAATAACTGTAAAAATACCATTGATCAGTAGTACCCTTTAGGCCAAACTATTTTAGATCTCGATTGAGGAAACTCAAACTCCCTCAGGAGGGGAGTTTAGACAAGCCTGTTCGATGGGACCTTTAGTCCCTCATGCGAGGTTATGTTGAGTCTGGCTAATGATGTGGGTTTATGTGCTTACAATTATAAAGTTGATAACTCTCCCAAAAGCTCCGCGTTAAATCTTTTATGACGATAACAATGATTAAAGTTGGCGGTAATAACTTTAGACTTTTTGATGATGATGACCTAATCAAAGAAATATATCATGCCTCATCAATAGAAAGAGCCACAAGATTAAAGTGTTTATAAGATTGAAGCACCCACCAAGAATCTTATAGCCTTAGATAAAGTGTGAAAGCAAAGAAGTAACATTTAAGTATTAAGGAAACTCATACACACATCTTAAAAAAATTCAAATATTTTTGTCGTGAAAATTATCTTCTAAGCCAAATAAAGTGATTAAAATGTTGTCCAAACCTTTTTCAAACTATTTTTGAACTAATAAATCGATTGATAAATTGTGCCAAGTGACTGACAAAAAATTTATGAGTCATCCAATCGATTGGAGCGTTAAGTCAATCGATTAATCAAGAACTTATGACAACACAATATTGACTTGCAACAACAGTTATATATCCAATATTTTTTTTTGGCTTTCTTATCAATTAAAAATGAGATGACCAATCGATTAAAGCTTTGTGTGTCATCCAATCAGTTGACTCATTAATTCAGCTCATGGATTATTTTTGTTTATGATTTTTCTAACTCCTATATAAAGAAGGTTCATCTCCACTTCATTTCACGCCACTTTTCAACGATTTATTTTCTTTAGAATTTATTTCTCTAATTTTCTTTTTTCTATCTATCTAAAAAAATATTTCTCACCACGTTAAATTGTCTTAGTGTTAGTAAGTGAATTTTTGCTTATAAGGAATAATGTTTTTGGGTTGTTTGTTTAATTATTGATAATGTGACTCCTTGGAAAAGAGGATCGGAGAAAAAGGATAATATAATCACTACTTGAATTTTGCTTTAAAAAAGATAAAACAATTGCAGAAAGTAAAAGAGAAGAAGACGAGGATTCAAAAAAGCTTCAGAAGTTGCTGATTGGTACTTGTTTGGAACCTCCTTGGAGTGTGGCCGAAATCTAGATTCTCGCCGGAAAACTCCATTATTACAAGAGCTGTCCTTTAACCAAGCTTCTCAAGTAAGCCTCAAACTTACACTTCTCGATACAAGTTGATGCGTGTTCATGTGTTGATTAAAACCCCTCTATCAATTCCATGTAAACCTGCTCCATTGACATTTAATTTATCTATGAAAATCTAGGGTTCTTGAGCGCGCCCCTTCCATAGACTGAGTCAATACACACAATCTGGGCTTCTCATTCCTTTTGGGCCCAGTCCCTCATTATTTGCCACTCCTTTTTTATTCAAACCCCCTTATTTTATTTTTGCTTTTCTTTTATTTATTTTATTTATCTTTTCATTTTTGTTTTATTATATAGTTAATTGATTAAATTTAGTTTTTAATTAATTAGTTAATTTTGTTAATGAAGTTTAATTATCTTGACTATTTGATTGAATTATTTTTTTAATATAATTAATTCTAATTAACTTAATTAATTAATTTAATCAAACTTTAATCAATTAATTTTGTCAGTTAAACGCTAGTCCACTTGTTTGTTTATTTGTGAATATCTTAATGGGCCTTAAGTTTTTGTTATTTGCTTTATTTTATCCCCATGGTGAAAATACATTCCCATCCCTTGATTGTACTCCATTATTATTTTATTTTTATTTTTTAACTTAAAATCCTTGATTAAGGAGCAATTTTCAATTTTTATCAAACATCCAAGACTATTTCACATTAAAATCTAGAAATTTTTAAATCAATTTCATACTAAAATTAATCAAACGTTTGATCAACATCAAATCGTTTTTCTTAATTAACATTCCATAATCTTTTTCTTAATAAAGTCAGATGAAAAAGGACGAGATGGACACGAGCCCTAAGTGGTGAAAACGGAATAATTAGACATATGATCATTTGTTCTAAGTACTAGGACATTTGTTGTATAACTTGTCGTTCAAATGATCACCTTCCTCCATGTACTTTAATTTGATTCTTGTCAGAAGCTTTTTGCAATAAAAGGGATGAAAAAGAACGAGATGGATGTATGCCTGTTGTATGGTTTGCCTTTCGAATACTCGTCTCCCGTCTGAAATCAATCTTAACCAATCAAATATCTATTTTCACCTTAGCACATTTATGAAAAACTTTCCTGAAACGAATGATACTTTTCCTTGCGAAACTCAAACTAACGCCTTCATGTTCGAGTAGCAAGCAACGTTGTTCGCTTGAATGTGATTTAGGCATGGATTATGTTTTATCCATTCCAAATGCGACAAACATACAATGTTCCTTACTACCATGCTGGGTAGCAAAGAATTTTTTCCCGCTCGAATTCGATCTGAGAATTTTTCGCTAAAATAGACCAACTCACAAACATTTGCTATCCAGATTTACGTAGCCTTGAGTTTTCCATCTCACTTGAGAATACGTAGGACTAAGATTCAAAGTCTCTTTAGGCACATTAATAAAAAAACCTAAAAATTTCCCCATTTCTTTCTTTTTGTAAATAACTCGGAATAAGTAGAAGATCATAAATAATTTCACGCTAACGCTCTTTCGTAAAACTAACTAAATGAATCATGTTAACAAATGTGATGGATGCTAATACCTTTCTCTCGCATAACAAACTCTCAAAACCTAATTTGGTTGTGATGAACATATTTTTGTTCATTGAGGGTTTTATTGACATTTTCCCTTTTCTCTTAGAATAAGTAAAGTTCGGTGGCGACCCTAGCTTAGTTGTTTTGTCATGAGTGTTATGTTTATTTACTTGCTTTATTATTCGTCTTTTTTCTTTTATCTGTTGTGTGTTTTCTTTCTTGTTATATTCATCTGCTGTTGATTTTTAACATGTTGTATTGAAAGTTCTCTGGGTGATTTCATTAACACTATGAGAGAGGATCTTTACCCGAGTCCGAGGAAACACATAAGTTACGATGTTGGTTGGGTAAGGTTGACCTTCTGGACGTATGTCTCGCTTGGTTGACACAAAGACCCTGCCTAGAGTAGATCCTTTTGAGAGTGTTGCTGGCCTACGAGTATTCTTTACGTCAACAATATTTTCAATATGAGTTAATGACTCTAAGGACCTTTTGTCTAGAATCTTAAAACCAATTTTTGTGACCTTTGTATATAACCGGAGTCAATGGTTGTATAATGTTAACCTTTTGGATGTATAACTCGCTTGATTGACCGAAAGACCTCATTTAGAGTAGATCCACTTGACAGTACTATTGGCCTACGAGTATTTGTTATGTAAGTAATATTTTTAAATGGGGTCCATGACTCTAGGAACCATTTTATCCAAACCCTATAGTTTACCTGTGAGGGGGATGTTGGTTAGATGGTAAACAAAATGTTGCCATCCAGAATCCTTCTACTATGAGAAATCCTACGCAGTTTGTTTAAAAACACATCATACATACCCTTCTACATCCATGGCAAAGAAGATCATCTAAAACCGATGATGCATGCTGATAATGCTAATCCATCAAATTTTTCTGTAGGACATCAGCCAGTCCAAGGGTCAAGTGTTCAGTTCCTTATCTTCGGTCTACCTCTAGGTTACACTCCACCATTTACCAATGCCACCAACGGAGGACCAACTGTTCAACCACCTGTGCAAATTTCGATAGCCACTGAAGGGCATCCAACTGGATTTTTTTGCCCACCAAAGTCCCTTTGAGGATCCTCATCTTGTATTCCATGCAACTAGTCCTCTAGATATCCATCAAAAGGTGGCAGTTGATAATATTGAACTTGAAGGGAAGTGTTAGGTACTGGAGAAGAAACTGAGTCATTGAGGGACATAACATATTCAGTCTTAATGTTATAGATATGGGTTTGGTCCCTAACGTCGCCCTCCCTTCAAAATTCAAAGTTTCAGACTTTAAAAAGTATAAAGGACTCAACTGTCCAAAGGATCACCTAGTGATGTACTGTATTAACCAAATTCTGACATTAAATTATAAAATATATGAAATATAGTAACTAAAATTTTAATATTAAATTATAAAATATAGAAAATACAATTGATTATTAAAGTATAAATATTAGTTATTATAATTTATATTTCAGTATCAAAATTCAGTTAATATTATAGAATTTTTGGTAAATAAATTATTAAACTTGATTAATGAACTATAAGTAAAATAAATAACACTTTATATTTATATTACAAAAATACATTTAAAAATAAACATACTATTTCAAAAATATTATTTTATTTAAAAAAACTAGTGGAATACCCGTGCGTTCGCACGAGTACTAGTATGGTATACACATTTATTCCCGAAATAAAATAAAAAATAAAATGAAAGAAAATTAAATTATTCAATAATTTTTTATTTTTATTTTTAAAAGAGATAATAAATCGGTATCTATAATTCTTTTAATATATAAATATTATTTTTGTTTTGATATTATTTTCAAAATTATTTGAATCAATAATAACGTAGTTCCATCATTATTCAGTATTTTAATTAGTAATTTAATATTTTTGTTATTATTCAATATTTTAATCATAATTTTATATTTCCATTATTATTCAATATTTCGATAAATAATTTCATGTTTTCATTATTATTCAATATTTTGAAATGATTTCATATTTCCATTATTATTTAATATTTCGATAACTAATTTCATATTTATGTTATTATTTAATATTTTAATCAATAATTTCATATTTTCGTTGTTATTCAATATTTTGATGCATGTTTCTATTATAATTGTTTTATTTTGGTATTTTTAAAAATAATTAATTATGATTTGGCATAAACAATATTTGTTAAATTATAAATAATCGAATATTATTTTGTACGACATAAACAATATTCACCTTATACATAAATATTATTTCTGTTATCATTAAAGTTACAATAATTATTTATTTATTATTTTTTATTTACACGTTAAAACACTTGAATATTTTTTACTCATATTTGACAGTTATTATTTAAAACTAAGTTTTTTTTGTTGTTTTTTTAAAGCTATAAACAAATATATGTATTTACAACTCTATCTTAGCATTCACTGGCGTCATTCGCTCAAATAAATCCTAGCTATTTAATTAGATTAACAGTCCTAATTGATATTTTCTCTATCTTTTCCATTTTAAAATCACCACACAGAATAATGATAAAACGACAAAACCCACAATCTAAAAAATGCATTTTTCTCCGATTATTTTCCTTTTCTTTCTATTTTCATCGCGTTCTGTAACCAAGAATGACGAAACACGATCCACCATCACCAACAACCATTCTACGGTGACAATGGGTTTATTCAGATAGTTGATTGTTCTCTAAATGGGCTTTTTAAGATTAATTATGTTGTGAAAATAAGAGTGTTGCAGCAACTCATGCAATCAATGACACTGTCATTGTTCAAAATTATAAAAAGCTACTGCAATAATGATCTTGTCATTCTTCTACAAAATTATAAAAGAGTGTTGCAGCAACTCATGCAAATATATGTCTCGAACATTAAACTAGACCGATAAGTAAAGCCATCACTACCCAACAAAATCCAGCAGCCACAACAGCTGAAACACCTTTATGTTTTATGGCTTCAATTATGAGTTTTGCATCTTCAAAACCTTTGTCCTGTTAATATTTTAATAAAGATATAACTTTCTCGTTCTTGAACCATATTATTCCTTAATTAATTTGATTCAGATCAAGTTTCGTGGTCAAAACAGTGTGATGATTATTATGATAACCTGATTGAACAAAACGACAACAATGATAGTCGTTTAGCTATTGTGCCTTGGGTACCACAATCTTCCTCCGGTTCTTCACACACTTTTGATGATGATAAGAACAATATGAATACAATAGAGTTGATGGAAGCTGATGAAATGGAAGAAGAACCAGAAGATGAAGATGAAGGAGCCATGATGGATGTAGAACAAGAAGAGAAGAACTTTTCAAGAGGGATTTCAACAACACTGTTTGTTACCTCAAAACACTTCAACTCCTATTACTTGGACTCGTTGAAAATCATTACCTAGTTACTACTTGCTATCTTTCTTGTCTTTCTTCTCTTTAGAATGATACATTACACTAGACAAGATCTTCGATTTTTGTTTTGTTGGAAACAAAAAGCGTTTTTTTTTTTTTTTTGCTTTAGGTTATGGGAAGAAGTAATTAGGATAAGTTGGTTAAGTGTCTGACTTAGTGGTGAAACTTTGAGTCTCAATTGCTTATATTTTTGCATAAGATCCTTAAGTAGCAATGAAAAATCAATGTTTTATTTGTGAATCTTTTAATTCGTTCATTCCTAATGAGACATTATGTCATTGTTATGATAAGTTATTGATATATTGTTCACCACTTAATTATAATAAATATATATTGTTCACCACTTAATTATAATAAATATACTTTTTGTTGGTGCAAGGTAATGAAGTGAGAGAAGAAGAATGAACAAAAATGATAATAAGACTACTGTTGTATTTAAATAGAGGAGATAAAATTGGGTACAATATTGATAGGCTAGTACAACATATTTATACTAAATATTAAAATGCCAAAAGACCTTATTAAAGATAAGCATTGGGAATTGTAGACATTAACTAAATTATCTTTCCAATATCATTCATTAATTTAGATATTCTATCAGAAGCTAACAACACCAATTTTATCTCTCAAGCGAAAAAATTGATCTGTCTTAACTGCCTTCGTCAGAAGATCTGCTAGCTGTTTCTGAGTGCTGCAGTGCAGAACTTCTAACACTCATTTCTGCACTTGACTTCTGAGAAAATGATACTTCGTCTCAATGTGCTTGCTTCTTCCATGTAGCACTGGATTCTTGGTAAGGTCAATTGCAGACTTATTATCAATCATTAGCTTCAGAGGTTCCTCAACTTCAACCTTCAGATCATGCAAGAGATTCAGAAGCCAAGCAGCTTGACAAGCAGCTACAACACCTGCAATATACTCTGTCTCACATGTTGACAGAGCCACGACAGACTGTTTCTTGGAACTCCAGGAAATGGGACCTCCCGGAAATTTAAACAAGTATCCAGAAGTACTTCTCCTGTCCACTCTGTCTCCACACCAGTCAGAATCAGAATAACTTATTAATTCTGATTTTGTCTTACTTTCATAAGGAAACAACACTCAATATTTCAGGGTTCCTTTGATATATCTTAGAATTCTGACAGCAACTTGGAAATGAGACCACTTTGGATTGCTCATGAATCTGCTAACCAATCCAACTGCATAACAAATGTCAGGTCTAGTATTGCATAAATACCTTAAAGAACCAACCAATTGTTTAAAGATTGTAGTATCAACAAAATCACCATCAGAGTCAAAATCCATTTTTTGATTGGTTTCTGATGGTGACACAACAACTTTACAATTCTGCAGCTTAAATCTCTTCAAAAGTTCTAGTTCATACTTCAACTGATGCAGAATGATACCCTTCTTCGAGTACAGAATCTCCATCCCTAGGAACAATGTCATATTTCCTAGATCTGTTATCTCGAAATCATTCATCAGAACTTCTTTGAACTTCTTTATATCTTCTGGGCAACTTCCTGTTAGCAAAATATCATCAACATAGAGACACACCTGAATCATATTGTTATCAGAGTGTTGCACATAAACGCCATATTCCATCTCACATTTCTGAAACTTCTGCTTCTTGAAAAACGAATCAATTTTCAGATTCCAAGCTCTGGGCGCTTGCTTCAGTCCATACAGAGCTTTATTCAACCTGTATACCGTCCCTTCCTGATTCTTTTTCAAAAATCCAGGAGGTTGTGACACATAAACTTCTTCCTGCAATGGACCGTTCAAAAATGCAGAATTCACATCTAGATGCATTAAAGGCCAATTTCTATTTGCAGTTAAAGCAATCACCAGTCTGATTATTTCATGCCTAGCTACAGGCACAAACACTTCAAAGTAATCTAGCCCAGGTTTCTAAAGAAAACCTCTAGCTACTAGTCTAGCTTTGTGCTTGCCAATTGAACCATCTGGCTTAAGCTTCAACTTAAAAACCCATATGACGCTGATGGCTTTTTTCTTATCTGGAAGCTTAGTCAATTTCCATGTTTTGTTCCTTTCTATTGCCTCAAGTTCTTCTTTGGAATTCAACCATTCTTTCTTCTTGAGAGCTTCTTCAATGCCTACTGGTTCAGAATCTACTAACATGGCACACTGAATGACTTCTCCTTCAGAGTCAACTTCATTATCCTATAACATGTCGAAATCTGCAAACCTTCTTGGTTTTTGTCTGATTCTCTGTGGTCTTTGAGCTTGTTATGAAGCTGCATTAGAACTTCTACCTTCAGAGTTACCACCTTCAGAGTTTTCCCTTCCAGAACTATGATCACCACCAGATTCTGGATCATCATCAGTATCTGGATCAGAATCAACATCTGGACCAGAATCAAATCTACTGTCTGAATCTCCTTCTGACTCATCTTCAGAACTTTCTAAAACATCTTCAGAAGTTAACTCTGGTGTTGGCACTACACCAGAATCTGATTGAGACTTGTTCCAATCCCATGCTTCAGACTCTTTCACCACAACGTCTCTGTTGAATTCAACTTTATTAGTTTCTGGACAATAAAGCTTATACGCACATGTACTGTGATACCCCACCAACAACATTACTTTGCTTCTATCATCCAATTTTTATCTTCTAGCTTCTGGAACGTGTTTGTAACAGACAGAGCCAAACACATTCAGATGAATGACACTCTGCTTATCTCCAGTCCATTTTTCTAAAGGAACAACTTCCTTTAGCTTCTTCGTTGGACATCTGTTCAGAATATATGCTGATGCAACAACAACTTCTCCCCATAACACGTGAGGTAGCCTTTTCTCTTTCAGCATGCTTCTGGTTATATCAAGCAAATTTTTGTTTCTTCTTTCAGTAAGACTGTTCTGCTGAGGAGTATATGGAGCAGTAACTCATATTCTATTCCATTCTCCTCACAGAACTTCTGGAACTCTTAGAGTTATACTCACCTCCACCATTCATTCTCAGAATCTTCACCTTCTGACCACTCTGCTTCTCAGCCTTCACTTTGAACTTCTGAAACTCAGTAAACACTTCATGCTTGAACTTGATGAGTGTTACCCATGTCATTCTTGTGAACTCATCCACAAAAGACACAAAATATTTGTTTCCTCCAAGTGAAGGTACTGGAAATGGTCAACACACATCAGAATGTACTACTCCTAGAGCATGCTTCGCTCTGGGGGTTACTTCTGATGCAAATGGCAATCTGGGTTGCTTTCCTTTCATGCATATCTCACATGACTTCTCAGGCTTCACAATCTTCGAAATACCATGTACAAGCTTCTTAGAACATATATGCCCTAAGCTTCTATAGTTCAAATGTCCCAACCTCTTATGCCACAACTTACTGTCATCTTCAGCGCCTTCTGCACTAAGAAACGTTGCTTCAGCTGTTTCTACATTCACCTTGAATTTTCTGTTGCTTCCTTGTTCAGACTTCATAATCAACTTCTGATTGGAATCATACAACGTCAAGAGATTGTTTTTCATAACAACTGAGAAACCTTTCTCAATCAGTTGACCCATGCTCATCAGATTGCTTCTAATACAAGGAACATACCAAACATCTTTGATCAGAATGTCTTTCCCATTCTTCACTCTAACTCTGACATCTCCCATACCTTCTGCATTAAGATACTTAATGCCAGCACATCTGATCTTTGTTCTCTTTCTGGAGTCAAAGTCTTTCAGCCATTGTTTGTTTCAAGTTAAGTGATTTGAACAGCCAGTGTCCATACACCACCAATCTCTAAGCATTTTCCATCGGAATCAGAAGCCATTAGTAGCACAGGTTTATCATCAGAGTTTCCCTTAGCCATATACGCTTCTTCTGATTTCCTTTCTTTGTTTTACCTACAATCTCTGGAAAAATGGCCAAATTTTTTACAAGAGTAACATTGAACCTTCCTTTTGTCATACCTCTCATTTCCTTTATGATATCTCTTATCATCAGGAATCTATCACCACGTTTACTCTGCTTATGGTCTTTCTTGACAAAAGAAGCCTTCAGAGCTTGCTCAACTTCCCTTTTAGAAGTTCTCTCAGACAGACGTGACTCCCGTGCTTCTAAATTGCTTTGCAATTCTTCTATTCTCATAGTTTCCAGATCTTTAGAATGTTCAATAGAAACAACAATGCAATTAAACTGAGGAGTAAGCGACCTCAGAATCTTCTCTATGATTACCTGTTCAGACATAGTTTCTCCACATGCCTTCATCTCGTTAGTGATCAGAATCACTCTGGAGATATATTCAGAAAATTTCTCACTGCTCTTCATGTTCAAGTTCTCATATTGCTTTCATAGGGATTGAAGCTTCACCTTCTTTACTGATGCGTCACCATCGTAACATCTCACCAATAAATCCCACGCCCCTTTTGACGTTGTTGAATCAACAATATTCTCGAACACACTTTCATCCACACACTGGTGGATATAGAACAGAGCTTTCTGGTCCCTCTTCCTCATAATCCTATCAGTAGTTTTCTATTCTTCAGTTGCATGCAACTGGTACGTAACCATCTGTAACCAGATCCAGAACATCTTACGCACCAAACAACACACACATTTGTATCATCCATTTGTTCTAGTTTTTTCCATTAAAAACTGGGAGTTTGGTGTTCAAACTACTGCCTCCACTCATTTTAAACCTTGTACAAATTTTTCAGATCTTCAAACACACTATTTCCCAACCCACAGAATCATATTCTGTTCAGATTTTATTCAAGATTTCAACAGAAGATCAATGAACCAAAATCAAACACACAGCTCACAATCACTCGTGTTTCCTAGGAAAAAACAGAACTAAGTGCTCTAGATTCCAATTTGTTGGTGCAAGGTAATGAAGTGAGAGAAGAAGAATGAACAAAAATGATAATAAGACTACTGTTGTATTCAAATAGAGAAGATAAAATTGGGTACAAGATTGATAGGCTAGTATAGCATATTTATACTAAATATTAAAATGCCAAAAG